AGAAATTGATTTTCATCTAAATTGTATCTACGCTGTGAGTAGCTCAAGATCTCAAAACCAAACTTGTACGATACTTTACAGTATGGATGACCGCACAAGCAAACACTCGGCAAAAGGCATGAGAACAGATGCCCAATGAACGACGACCAACATTCATGTAGGCGGAGTTGAGAAACTTCTTCATTCTGATATCTTCTTTCTTCTTCTTTATGCTACTGAAGAATGAGGAAGATAAAGCTGAAACTTAATCTCCCTAGTCCTTCATCGTGGCAAGATCTAACCACGATAAAATGGAGAAGAGACCGGAGAAAATTATTCCATGATGGCGACACCATCTCCGTCTTGATCGATATCGTCATCTGTAAATAAAAGTCTCCATGTCATACTAGTGAGGATGTTGACGCCGTAGTTGTCGTCCCCATCTTCAACAGAGCCACCAAGGATAAAACGATTCCATCCTACCCTCTCACCGTCGCCGGAAAGGAGGAGGAGGAGATAAATCCCAAAACCAAGAAATTTGATATGGAGAGACCATAAACCTAAGAACTCGATCTACTGAAAAAACTTATTAAAAACGATAGATCCCCACTCCTTTCGACCTCCGACGATATGCTAGAGGAGGAAGGAAGGGGGACCAGCGGTGGTGGAGACGGGCGGCGGGGGCGCTCCGAGCATGAGACGCGAGACCTGGCGGCTGCGTCACGAGAGGTGGAAGAAGATGAGGATTTCTTCTGCATATAAACCGAAGAAATGCCGTGTTGGTCTCACTTTGTCACTCCAGACGCGGCCGCACTGACCGTTGGATCAGATTTGGTTCGGCGCCATTTAAGCCCCGTGTAGGCACTAGCCGTCACGACGCACAACGGCCCAGCCCAAAAGTTGTTGGACGCGAGACGAGATTGCCTTGGCTTTAGCAGTTCACCGGCGTCTTCAGGCTAAAACCCCAGCGTACCTTGTTCTAAAGGCATCTGATTAAGGTAATGTCTGTATGCAGTAATGCTAATAGTTACTGTAGCGAGTAGCTGAAAGGCATATTATTTAAATTCATATGATAATAGATAGTTGGATAGTTGGTTTAAGATGGATACGAACTATTATAGCGTGTTTGGATTGGAGGTTGATCCCGTGCGGCATGACCCAGTCTGGAATGTGCTCATCCGGCCCTTTTTTATGGAATGGCCTGGTCCATTACGATTGCCTTTAATTAATGCTAAGTGGATCCAGTGACGACGGACGGTGCGGATCCATGTTACGAACCAAATGGCATTTTCAGCTACGGATATAGGATCGGATGATTCCGGATCACTTGACGCCACAAACCAAACATGCTCCTATCTCCACTTGTTAATCAATAGTTACAAAGTTTATTTTAATCACCACTGGCTAATTTTAGCCCTTAACTATTACTAGGTAGCGTGCTCGTGCGTTGCTACGGGACAACTAAATTTTTTGTACTAAAAACACACGGATCGCACGATAAGATAACAATACTGTTAAATTAAATACCGACGTTAAAGTGACATTTAATTCAAAAAGCAAAGTTTGTGAAATTAACACAGTCACGGAGAGCGCGGCGTCGCAGGCTCACAAACTCTGCTGTATAGACTTTTTCGTGATATGGCTAAGATAATATTTTATATCGGCAGAAAGAATTCTCCGATATCCATTTCTTTCGTGCGCCAATAAATCCATGAATAAGTTCCGCTGTATCTCCATATAATCCTGTACACACAGGTTCGAGTATATATGTAAATATTAGTGCCTGTCACATGGATAATACTACGTGTCTTAAAAACTCTCTCATAAAATTTTAAAACAAAGTATATTATACTCACCGTATAAATATGTGTGACTTTAGGACTATTCCACACAGACATATATTGTAGAATAAGGTATCCACTTGAGTGTCTGTTCCAAGATGTTGAATTAGATGTTGTAATTCTTAATTTCGACATATTTTTCAGGTCAAGACAACCAATGGTGACACTTTTCTTAGTGGTGCATAATTTTATGGTGCACTTCTTGACTATCTGAGTAAGGACAAGTTAGCACTGCAAAGGCTCAGAAAAACTACTGAGAAGACCAAGGTTGAGTTTTCCTCCACTATGCATACTAAAACATATGTCCCCGTTTATCATTGCTGATGCTTTTGATGTAAACCAATTCAACATTACCATGATCGGATATAAGTTTGAGTCTCTTGTGAGCAATCTCATAGAGGGACTCTTATCCTTTATGTGATCTGCCGCAAGGATACTGGCAGGACGATTGACCCATGTTGAAATGTCGCACAAAAAGCATCCACGTTTTGTCCATGATTTATTTCCCATGAATACATACGGGTACTATGATAACACTAACTACACTAAATGAAAGATTAGAGAGAATTTGCATTGTCTCCAGAAGGATTTATTTATTAAGTTCTTTAGACTTTACAGGTAGTTTTGAAATATCTGTTTACATGTCTTACCTCGTATCCTAATTCAAAATTTTGTAGTTTAATTAGAATATTTAAGTGATTGTATATATATATTATTCAATACAAGAATAATCTATGCACGATCTTCTTGAAAGATTTCTGTAGTGTAAAGACATCTTTGTTTTTCATGCATGCCCGTGCTAACGCTACGGTAAAAACAAAAGGACAATATATTAATTAAAAAATAAAAACAAAACTCATGCTCAAAGTCAAAGAGATAAATTATGGATGCTTGAATTTTATCATCTATTATCTACCAGCGTGCCTATAAAATAGACTGAATAAACAATTAAACATAGATAGAAAACTAAATTAATGAAATGATCATTGCAAGACATCAATCATCTCATAGCTTCGGACAATATCGCAAAGCTACTAAAAACTGTAACCGTGCCCTCACCCCAAACATTGTCTAGATAAATGGATTACAATGAAAGAAATGGATATCGGAGATTTCTTCCTGCCAATATAAAACATTATCTTAGCCGCATCATGGAAAGGTCTATAAAGTAGAGTTTGTGAGCCTGTGACGCCGCGCACTCCGTAACTGTGTTAAATTCATAAACTTTGCTTTTTGGATTAAATGTCACTTTAACGTTGGTATTTAATTTTTACAGTATTTGTCGGTAAGAAAGTGACCAACTAGTGAATATTTGTAGTTTTGCTGCACGTTGTGATCGGAGGTGGCATAGCACTCAATGACACAGGATTTATACTGGTTCAGGCAATGTGCCCTGCGTTCAGTTTGGGTCGGTCGGTGACTTTATTCCTGAGCTCAGGTGCTCGAAGTCTGCAGTAGGGTTACAAACGAGAAGGAGAAAAGATGGGGGGTACCAGAGGCCCGATCGGCTCCGGTCGGAAGGGCCGAGAGCGACGGGAACTCCGCTATGAGCTAAGTGTTCAAGCGTGTGCTTGAGGTCCGAACCTGGCGGTTCTATGGTTGTGAGCTATTGGACTAATGAATCTAAAGGAACTGAGCTTGAATGAATCCGTCCTCCTGTTGGAGGGAGTGCATCCCCTTTTATAAATGAAGGGAATGACTTTACAGGTGGAAGGGAGAGGGTACGGATGCTTTTAAGCCTTGTTGCCCATGCCGATGAGGATTGGATAATGGTAGGCGCCTACAACACTGTTGATGTCACTGTAGAATGTCAGGTGCACGTGGGAGGTTACGTTGTCTTCTTCAGGAAGGGTTGATGTCGGTACCTGCAAAATACTGCTTACCCAGAGGCACGTGAGGAGCCTCACCACGTTTACCGAGCATGGTGAATCTCACCGCCTACAACACTATTGATGCCCAGAGGCATGTGCGGGGCCTTTTGCCGTACAGGAGTCCAACGGCGCCTACAATACTATAGGGATAAATGTCGGTGCCTACAATACTGTTTGTGTCAGGGTGGTCATGGAGCACTGTTCCCGCAGGTGTACAGGGTATGGTCCTTGTACCATGGTTTGACTCGCGTGCTGCCTTCTCCGTTCGTCCCTGGTTCCTTCCGAGCGGGCGTCCCCGGTCGGATGGCTCCAGTCGGCTTCGGTTGCGCCAGTCGGAGAAGAGCGACGAGCAGGGTTCTTACGTACCCCGGTCGGAGAGACACGGGGTCGGAGTCGGAAGTAGGGCTCGGGGCAGGTCTTCCAATCGGAGAGGCCGTCCGGAGGCGGTTGGAGCCCGAAGCGAGCGCTCCGGTCGGATAGATGGGCCGAAGTAGTTGATGAGCGGGCGTTGCTCCTCTCGGGCCAGACCGGTCGGTTGCTGGACCGCCTCTTTGCCTTGTTATTTTTAGACTCTCGGGTCGAGCCTTGGCGTGGAAGCCGGTCCCCGAGGGACCCCGGGTTTATGAACCCGACAGTATTATTATCTTATCGTGCGATCCGTGTGTTTTTAGTATAAATTGTTAGTTATCCCGTAGCAACGCACGAGCACGCTACCTTATAATAAGAAGAAGAATGTTTAACTGACCAAAGTTTCTACACCTACAGCACTTACATAAAAACCAATAAAAAAAATTAACCTCCATCCTAAATATAAAGAATTTTACACATACATCTAGACAATTATTACTATGGGCCTAAACAAGTAATGATCAGCATGTAACGCTGTAGCGCTGGAAGTACATGAATACTCCTTCAGATGTTTTAAGTTACAGAAGTAGCAGAATCTGGTAAATGAACACTTCGCTGTTTACTTCTACGGCACAAATTAACAATTTTAACACATCAATTATCATTCTACCTTGGCTACGAAAGCTACATATACTGTAAATTGTAATACTGATGTACATTGCCAGCTTGACAAAAGAAACTACAACCAGATTATCAGACGCTGATCCATGTAGATCGGAAAAAAAAACGCGATATACTTCGGTCCTAATAATTTCTACTGCCCAATTACTCCATCTCGTCCGAAAATACACAAAATTGACCAACATTGGCGACACAGAAGCATCCACTGGCCAGATCAGCAGAATTATAGTCCATATGAACAAGGGTTGGTTCCAGAATTCATTTAGCAGCGCCATTGAGATCAGACCGAAGGGAAGAATTTGTTCAGATTGAACGGCAACGAGTAGAACTCTTGGCTCCTCGCGTCTTTCTTGAAGCTCCTGAACTTTTCCCACCAGTGGTTGCCTCTGTCCTTCCTCACCGCGCTTTCCTTTATCTGGAGGGTGTTGTCCAGGATGTAGGCTACCAACCCAGCGACGAACGGCTTCGATGAGAATGGCACGTTTATCATGTCATTGAACTGTCGAAGAGCAAAAACAAAGATTGGTTAATTTGTTACAGACCATTAGTTTGTCGAAGCTCAGGCTATCAAGGTAAATGGCATGTGTAGCTAGGCTTTCTTGACCATACCCATCTGGCGCCAGTGTGCACTGGACCATAACTTGCAACAGCTGTATACTCATTGAAGTACTGAGGAACTGATAAGCCCATGAAGAAAGCAAACCCCATGATGAACTTGGTCCTAAAGCTGTTTAGGTTGCAGAACTGAAGTAAGCTCAGACCAACACCACCTGAAAACGGAAGCATTCATTGAGTGCGATGCAGAATAAGAAGCTGAGAATTAACAAGCGGAAACTGTCAGGCAACAATAGCGTTTTTTCAGGGAAATGGACTTACCAACATATGCGAAGAAGAGACAGTACATGCCAGCAAATATGGGCAGTGGAATCGATGCAAACAAAGCTCCAAATTTTCCTGGTTTGGAAAAACAAATATCATCAACCTATCACAGCACCAGCGAAATACACATGAACATAACAGAAAACTGTGTTGCAATATCTAATAAAAGTCAGTAAAGCAAGTTACCAAGGACAGAGAAGAAAATCATGAACCCTGCAGATATTTGTACTACTCTCCGGCTGCCAATACGTATCAATCAAAGCAATCCAATATTCTCTCTGTAAGCACAAAAAATTCATAATGCATATTAGTAAAACATTTTTGTTCTGAACAAACAAGTATTGACACTTAATTTTTTCACTGGAATCATACTTACACTGAAACTGATGTCCCGTTGGCTGTCCCAAAAAATGAATCAAGCAAGAGACCAATGCCCTGACAAGGATGTTTCACACCTAACAATGTTACCAACACCATGGTACAAACTCAGATCACTGAGTCCACAGTACGATATTTGAATCCTTACCTGCCATCCTATGCCCCGGCTAATAATTGATGGAGGAATCATAGTTGCACTTGCATATCTTGAAGCACCAATGAAGGCGCCAGTTGACTACAGGATTAAAATATATCAAATTTGTATACTACTCATAAATTGATACTACCTCTGACCCAAATAAATCAACTTCTAGAGTAGTACTAAGTCCAGCTTTCTTAAATTGACCAACTTTATACAAAAATAGTAGTAACATGATATCATACAAGTACATTACAAAAATATATTTCTTATGGTATCTAACTATACTAATTTTATGCCATAAATTTTGGAGTCATTTTCTACAAATTTGGGAGGGTGTGGCGGCGGGGCGAGCGGGCGAACCGTCGCGGCGGATGAGCAGGCGGTGGAGGGATATTTAACTTTTTAATATTATAATGGATGGCACCTCCTCAGATAGAATTTTTAGAATTGACACTATGATTTTACCACCAGAGAGAAATTTGACACAAAATTACCACTTTTGCTCGCGTGGCACGCCAACACATCACTCCAACGCGGATCCGAGTCAGCAGCCCCATGCAAAATGACGCCCCTGCCTCTGACGTGTTTATATTCACAGATAGTCGGACCCCACTTGTCAGCCATCTCTCCCAGCCTCTCCTCCCGCTGACGGGTGGACCCAGCTGTCAGGGTCATCCCCTACCTCCAGCCACTGATCCCTTAGGCAGAGCGGGCGACAACGACGGGGGTGGGGTGGAGCTGGCGGGAGGGGCCGACGTCGGTGACACTGGCGGTGGCGTCGTGCTCGGAGCCGGCACGCCGCCGCCGATGCCGTTGCTGCGGGCGGTGAGGACCATGACGACGAGCTTCTCGTCGGCGGGATGGCGCTGCGTGCACGGTTCGACGCCGAGAAGTGGTGCAGCAGGGGCGGTGTATCCTTGCTAAGCCAACGGAGGAAGCAGGGAGGCGAATGGTGGTGTCTGTGTGGAGATCCGGAGCTCGAACCGAAGCTCGGCAATGGCGGTGGCTGCGGTGATTGGCGGCACTGGAGAAGAAGAGAGGACAGAGGGAGGGGCGGGACGTCTGCGGCGTGGAGAGGGGCCCGAGGGGCGGCGGAGAGGGGGAGGAACGAGCAGTGGGCACCCCTGGCAATGGGAACCTCGGTCGTATGTCGCCCATGGATTTTTTTTATTTTTAACACTTCTTGTAAACTAATTTTAAATCTAACACTGTTTCTTTTTTTCAAAACTAACACTTTTGGCCGCGCCTATTGCCATGGCGCGGCGAAACGCCTGTACCGTGCCATGCATGGTGGCGCGGCGAGAGGATGACGTGGCAACGACCAGAAAAGCTGACCGGTGACGTGGCAGGCTCTACCGCGCCACCGATCTTGGCGCGGCAGTGACGCGTCCTGATCGGTGGCGCGGCAGAGCCGGATAAAAGGCCCGCGGCCTAGTCCCGCCTGTTATACACTAAAAAGAACAAAGTGTGGATATTTTTTGGTGCGACATTTGTTTTGGTTCGTCCGTCTGCCCACGCTTGCGATCCCACGACATCTCCCGCATGCTGCGTCCTTTGGTGCGAAGAAAACACGGAAAGTCTTGACCCTAATTTACATGCGCTACAAATACGGAAAGTCTTGACCCTGATTTGCATGCGCTACAAACACGAAAAGTCTTGACCCTAATTGCCTCAAACAAGGAGAGCGATCACCCACGTCTCACGCTCGATCATACCGCCCTCGTGCCACAAATATGAAATTCTTGACCCTGATTTGCATGCGCTACAAACACGGAAGACCATCGTCGCTCGTCGCTGCACGATCGAACGCGTCTTCTTGGTAGGACTCAAGCACGTCACTAGTCGCTGCACGGAGACGATCGTCGCGCCCCCCATTCCTCAAGCCCCTACACGATCAAGCCGCCCCTACTTCTTCCTCGTCGTGTAGTGGAGAAGCAACATCAATGGATCATCCACCGTCTGCCTACCAGTGGATGCACCTGTGGCTACATCATCGATCGCCGCAAGGTCGCCGCAAGATCATCTCCCCGTGCGATCTCCCCTCCATGACCTGCTCCATCGTCTGGTCTGTGCGCCCGCGTCGTCATCCTCCCCGTGCGCCACGTACACTGCCGCCTCCATGACGTTGCGCCGTCGTCCTCGCCGTTCGCCGGCATCGTGCACCTGGAAACACCGTTGCCTCCACGACGCCCGTGCCATAGTCCTCGTCGTTCGCCCCCGCCATGCACCCGAGCCGTCATCCTCGGCTACCGCGCCGCTACCTCGATGCCACCTGAGTCGTGCACCCGAGCCGTCGTCTTCGCATATGTAGACCGATTGACGTCGTATGTCCTCCATCGCTCACCGTTCATGATGTTACACAACCATAGTTCATGATGCTGCAGACGTTCTTGTTATATAGTTAATCATCTATTTTTCGATATTGTGTGCCTGCACATTGGATGCCATTGTTTTTTTAGCATAGTTAGCCTTTTGTGTGTACCAATCTCGTTTCAAGTAGCTCGAGGCTTATTTATTTACTGATAGTCTCAATTCATGAGCTTGGTGTACCAATGTTAGATACTTTACTGGTAAAATATATTAGATACTTTTCTCTTGTCAACTTTTTTTATCTCCTACAACTAAAAAGACTAAAAATAAGACTATTTTTTGGTGTGACTTTTTTTGGGGGTCACTCCTCCCTTCCGGCTATGCGATACCCCGCACGATAGAAAAAGAAATTGTCATCCCTGCGATCCCTGTCTGCTTTGAAAGAAACAAATCGATCACCTGAGGCCACATGCATGGAAGGAAACAATAATCATGCATGGAAGAAAACAATTGGCAAAGATTAAGAAAGACTCCTCCCTTCCGGCCATGCGATACCCCGCGCGATAGAAAAAGAAACTGCCATCCCTGCGGTCCCCGCCTGCTTTGAAGAAAATAAATCGATCACCTGAGGCCACATGCATGGAAGAAAACAATAATCATGCATGGAAGGAAACAATTGGCAAAGATCAAGCAAGACTCCTCCCTTCCGGCCATGCGATACCCCGCGTGATAGAAAAAGAAACTGTCATCCCTGCGATCCCCGCATGTTTTGGAGGAAATAAATCGATTACCTGAGGCCACATGCATGGAAGGAAACAATAATCATACGTGGAAGGAAACAATTGGCAAAGATCAAGCAAGACGACTCAATGAGGTTGGCCCTTAATTTTAGTGTTTCTAGCATGCAGACCTGAAATTAAAAAAGTGGCTGCTCCTTAAGAACATCAGTGGTGCCAAATAAAAGATATGGAGGTTATACATGGTGAGACTGGTGAACCTTCTGTAATTTCCTAAACGAATATTCCCACCATTCGTATATAGGTCAATCCCCCTGCGTTTTTTCGTGCTCCAATTAGCATATAATATGAAAGTATTATTGTGTTTATCACGACTTTCAGTTGACTACTTCCATTAGCATATATTTCCTCTGCCCCAAAATATAAGTCGTTATGGGATGTGTGCAGGTCAAACTTTCTCAACTTTGACTAGATTTATAAAAAATACGTGCAACATTTAACAATCAATTGGTCGACTCCTGATGCTACATGCATGTAAAAAATACCTGTATTATAACTGGTCGAAGTTAAAAAAAGTTGACTTCTCGGGAAGCGAGAATGAATTCTATTTTGGGATAGAGGGAGTATATGAAAGCAGTGTTGAAAATATTTTAACAATCAAGTTCGTCTTTGTCTGATTGGTAAGCTTAGACATCATAATGGCATCAAAAATTTCGATTCTCATGGACACCCTCATGGATCAATGCAAAGCATCCTAATCCTACAGCATACATAAATGGCAACATTAAAAACCATCTTAGACATTCTGGCATTAGAGTATATACGTGTAGACACATAGACATGGTGGTGCAAGTGAGCAGCCAGCAGGAGTCGAGAGTTAGGGGGTGTTTGGATCATAGGACTAAACTTTAGTCCCGATCACATTGAATTTTTAGATATCAATTAGGAGGACTAAACATGAGCTAATTATAAAACTAATTACATAAGTTGTGGCTAATTCGCTTGCCAGCGCCGTGTACAGGATGGTATGGAGATATGGTGGAACTTATTCGTGGATTTATTGGCGCACGAAAGAAATGGATATCGGAAATCTCTTCCTGCCGGTATAAAAATGATCTTAGCCATATCACGGAAAGATCTACACAGTAGAGTTTGTGAGCCTGCGATGCCATGCTTTCTGTGACTTTGTAAATTTCACGAACTTAGCTTTTTGATTAAATGCCACTTTAACGTCGGTCATATATTTTTACAGTATTGTTATCTTATCGTGTGATCCATGTGTTTTTAGTACAAAAATTTAGCTGTCCCGTAGCAACACAGGGTACGAACCTATTTACATATATACTCGAACCTGTGTGTACATGATTATATGGAGATGCAGTGGAACTTATTCATGGATTTATTGGCGCATGAAAGAAATGGATATCGAAGAATTCTTTCTGTTATATTATCTTAGCCGTATCACGAAAAAGTCTATACAGTAGAGTTTGTGAGCCTGTGACGTCGCGCTCTCCGTGACTGTGTTAATTTCACGAACTTTGCTTTTTGAATTAAATGTTACTTTGACGTCGGTATTTAATTTAACAGTATTGTTATCTTATCGTGCGATCCGTATGTTTTTAGTATAAAAGATTTAGTTGTCCTGTAGCAACGCACGGGCACGCTACCTATATATAGTATATATACCTTAATCATGACTATTTCTCTGGGCACGTGCGGATGCGAGAAGACTGAACTCTGAAGGGCAGTGTTGTTAAACTCAATTGTACAATCTATATACCTTAATCATGCTTGACAGTCTCTGGGCACGTGCGGATGGTGTGACCGCACACGCCGGGCTCCCAAATTCCAGATCTTCAAACTAAGTACTCTATGTATATTAACAATAGTTGTGCTTCCCTTTTCTTTTTTATTTAATTCAAAATTAAGGCCCCTCCCGCTCAACATAACGAAGAGATTTAATCTTGATCGCGCTTCGTTTCCCCAGTGCTATCGTTTCGTTTTCACATCGACCCTATTGTTCTTCATCCATCGTCTCGTGGAGAGACAGAGAGTCATATGGTAAGTGGTATCGCTCGATGGTGGATGGCCTTTGCAAGCGGCAGGTGCACTACTGCACCGAGCAGCCAGCGGCATCGTAGGTAGGACCATCTGCGATGCGAACTGTGATATGTAAATCACTCATCAGGCCATCAAGATTCAAGAAGCGGTGTCTGTCATCACCATCATGATTCAGGAGGTTTGGAAGCAGCATCAGGGGAATCAAGCAGTCAGATAACATATCACCTAATTGCACTGCTAGGTTCTTGTAATCGGGTTCGTCTAAGCTAAAAGCCGTATTTGATTATGCCCTTTTCCCTCCAATCAATAATTGTATATTTCTTTCGATGAATGTACAAATGTATTTATTATTTTTGTCCTTCATCCTTGTGAGGATTTGTATCGACTCATCTTCTGAGTATTCACAAGACATGCCCTATACAAAAAACGGGTTAGAAAATACTTTGTTCGTTTCAAATTGTAAGTTGTTTTAGTCTTGTCTGAAATGACCAATTTCATTGAGACAAATTAGTATCTATAATATCAAATAACTAAAATATATTTAATGGTCTATAGACAAGCGTGAGGAGGTTGGCCTAGAACTCCTACTTGACATTGATGATGATGGTGGTGGTGGTGGCTAGATCAATAGGATTCGCCGTCTAAACGGTAGCGCAGCCCTTGGTGGAGATCGATCTCCTAGGGCGTGTGGTGTGGAAGCAAGCAGTGACTAGGGTTTAGATTTTGAACTTAGACTAGTGAGACCATGTCAAAGGAATATAATTGGATGGAATTAGATGATCTATATTGAGACTCTTGGGTAGTATATATATAGTTTATCCTAATCATGATATACTTAATTAGAACTACGTCCAACTATATCCATCAAAGATAGCTAGCTGCACAGGATGGTCCAGGAGACTACACAACTTGCACGCCCTGTTGTAATTCATGGTCATATTTGCTAGTAGCGTGCCCATGCTAACGTCACGGCAACATTCGGGGTGTAATTCAAAACCACCAAAAGATACCACAAACCGGTACTCTCTAGTTACATTCCAATGTTTTCATTTAAAAATAATTACATTGCAACTCCACTAATTACCACACAACCACATATATAATTGGAAATATATATTACTAACCTCTACAATTATTTTTGACTAAGTTGATATGTAGTTTCTTGAAAGATTAAAATGATGGCAACCACCATATACCCCTATAAGCTGTCATCACCTCATCGAGCCTCCATTTTGCATGTCCTGAGGCGAACCACAATGTGCAGTCAGTTCCACCTCGACCACTCAGGGTCAATGCTCATTTGAAACTGACTAAACCATGCTCACAATTTCCTCTCAACCTGATCAACATTTGTACTTGTACAATGTTTTATACAAAATACTCACAACCAAGCTAGATCACTTAAGTATGTACACAGCTAAGATGTTTGTCATGTACAAGTACAACCCATAACTCATGTCTTGCTTGCACAGCGATAAAGTTCTTTTCAATAATGTTTTATATCTAGGAAGTCATGGAACAAAACAGCCACCATGAGCACCTTGATCTTCTTCTTGCACTTTGATCTTCCTTTTTCTCTCATCTAGTAACTTCCGTGCTTGTTGGACTGAAAAGACATAGAATTAAAGCTACATACATTAATGCAGGCCCTAGAAAATAGAAAAATAGTCCAGCCATACACAAGCACAGTTAAAAAGAAATCACTCCATAATTTTGGATAAAAAAGCACACCAATCCATGATGGCAACAAATGATATGGATGTTAGAAAGAGAGATATGGCTCATTCAAAGCTATTGTGCTACACCTACAACTTCAAGCCATGATGGCAACACATGATGCAATATATCTGTTTCCTCTAGGCTATTCTTGCCCAGAGCTCTTGTGATAACATTACGGTTTGCACTTACTTCATGCTTGTATGGACACATAAACTCCAACGTATTCTCAGGGTTTATCAAAGCTCAATCTCCGCAATCGCACAGAGGAGGTTCCTCGAGTCGTCTAACTGCCGCTAAGTGCTTCTCCTTAGCCGTCATTGGAGGGGGGGTTAGGGGGAGGTGGAACCCATCGCTCGAAGTGCTCTCGTGGATGTCGCCCTCTCCACCAATCGTCGAA